TGCATGTTCGACATCGGGAGTTCCATTATGTTGTGTTACATAATTGTGACGCTATAGAAGAAACATGACTAGCTTATTCTTGCATCACATTTATTATTATTCATGTAATTGCATTACATGTTTGGTAATGTTTTATGCTTTTTATCTATTAGTTTTTGCATCATTACATATATATGGGGATATGTAATTGTATGCTCTTCTTTGCAAAAATTCATCTGTGTGATATATTAGTATTGGTATTGGAATATGATACTTCTCACGATTTGCCTTCTTTCTTTTTGACATTGTCAAAGGGGGAGAATAATATGCGAGATGAAGATGAGAAACACAGAGTTAGGGGGAGTCTTCGATAACTACATGAAATGCATCGTTGCAACTTTTGTCATCATCAAAAAGAGGGAGTTGTGAGTGCAACTTCACTATTAGGTATTTTGCATGATGTCAAAACTATGAAAGCTAGCATTTCAGTATGATGGACGATATCCTTATGTCTTGTGGTACTCCCTTGCATTAGAAGTCTTAGAAATCATTTAAAAAACTTTAAAATTGGTCCCAATCATGAAAAATCAGTTTTTGCACAAAATTAGCACTTATGTATCGACCTAAAATTTTTATGTGTCGACACATAAATTTTGTATTTCTGCATTTTCTTAAAAGCTTCAGTATGTGTTGACACATAACTTTTTCAGATTGACACATGTACTGCAATATTAAAGCTTTCAGCATTCCTGCTTTAAAATACAGGCACATGTATCGACACATACGATTTCAGGTCGACACATGTACTGTATTTTTAAAGCCTGTAACTACTATTTTTCATGTGTCGACACATAACTTTTTTAGGTCGGCACATACTGATTTGTGGGTCATTTTTTCATTATTTTTTCATTCTGAAAATATCCTCTTTTACCTAAAAAGAGTCCAACTATAAATATATCATTCATGCATCATTCCAACTTGATGATGCCATAAAATTAGCCTACAATTTTCTTTTTTCTCAACCTTCCAATCTATGCATAAACACCAACGTTACATTGTGATGATGTTTCGTCGGAGTGCCATCTAGACGAAGGATTGTGGATTTCCAATTGGTTTGGGTTGAGATTTATAGGGGTCTTCATCCGGGAAGAACCATCAGGTTTCTCCTTCAAAATCATTTGTTGAATTGGGGATTTTCGTGCAAGATCGTGCGAGAAGGAATTGTCCAAGTGAAAATTTCCTTTGAGTGTTTGAAATCTTTTCAAGGAACCTTAGAGTGTTTGAAATATTTTTAAAGAAGTAGCAAGAATTGGATGATAGAATCGGTGATCTTGTGTTGATAGTGCGCAATCGGATTTACTCGAGTGAAAAATCCCTTGGAGTATTTGAAATCTTTGCAATGAACCTTGGAGTGTTTGAAATATTTTCAAGGAAGTAACTTTAGCGGCAAATAGGTTGTATCTATCGGTCTTGGTCTTGTTGAAGATAAAAAGAAGATAGGGGTTTGAATCGATATCAAACATTTATATTTTGTATAGTTTCTCTTGAACACTTCTCTTGTATTCATACTTTTGCAAAGTAAGAAAATATCTCAATTCCACATTAGAATTGAGCGCAGACGTACCCACATGCAAGGACGAAAATGGGGAACTATATAGATAAATTCTTGTGTCTCTTTTCTTTTATCGCTTTTACCTTTTCTAATATTATTTAATAATTTTGTCAAATAACATTGAGTAATTTATCGACGCGTAGGAATTTTCTGAAACTGTTTTTGTTTTGAATTGTTTGTTGAGTTACTTATAATCACTTTTGATTTTAAGTGATTTTTCATATCAACACAAAACAAAAGAAAATTCTGAAATTTTGATTGCACACCAAGTGTTTAACAAATTGTTTAGCTTGTTTAATTCAAAGGAAAATTGCAATGTTATTTACTCTCATTTACTCTCTATGTGCAATTTGTTGAATGTGTTGTTTGATTGATCAATTCGTATAGAATTTTTTTTTATTGTTAAAGTTTAAATTGCTTTGTTGATTAGCTTATAATCACTTTGATTGTAAGTGTTTTTTCATATCAATTAAGCTCAAAGAAAATTATGAAAAATTGATTGGCGCGGCATGTTCGATAAACTGTCGAGTTATGTTTATAATATAATTTCATTGGAAATAGAAAATTGTTGTCTTGCATATTAAATGGTTAATTGAGATATTATTATGTTTATTTATTTTATCATTATGTTAATTCCACATGACTCGTGCATATTCGAGTTTCCAAAAATTAAGTTCGTTTAGACTACTATATTGATTTAGATCAAAAATCTTCCACTCAATATTTTTTTTCAAATAAGTTTTAAATAACCATTTTGAGAAGCCGTTTTTATTTGAGGATCTATTCACCCCCTCTAGATCCGGTGTCATAATCTAATATATTTGTCTCAAGTGACAACACTACGCCAAAAATGATTTTTTGTATCACCTAATTTAATAGCACTTTTAAAAGAAATGCTATTAAAATGGAAAAAACACATTTATAATAGCACTTTTTAATCGGGCGCTATTATATAATACAGACTATGTAATTATGATAGCACTTTGTACCAGAACGCTATTATTAAACTTCTTTAAGATAGCACTTTGTATAAAACGCTATTATTTGACTACCTATATAATAGCATTTATTAAAAAGCGCTATCTTATATATAATAATGAATTAATTAATTAATTGATAAAAAAAAAGTTATTTCCATTACAAACCGAAACAAAATAAAAAAACACAAGAAGGAGATTCCAAATCCATTACTTGACTGGCCTCCGACGACACGCCGGCGACCGCGACGACAACTCAACTGCTTCTGCAACAGCACAATATCGACGCACTCCGGCCCCCTGTAGCTCACCGGCAGCCACCACTGGGCGTTCGACTCCGACCTCCATCTCCAGCCACTCTCGGTTTTGCTTGCAGGTAAGCAATTTTTTTCCTCTATTTTCTCGATTTGTTGTGATTGTTGTTGGAGAACTTAAATGCTTGATTTGAATCTTGGATTTCTATTTTGTTGTTGTTCTTATTTTAAGAGAAAGATTGATTTTGTTTTGGGGTTGAAATGGATGAGAGATAGAAACCTTACCACCACCACAGAGTAAAAACCTTACCACCACCACCACCAATCACAACAAATCTCAAGATGTGTGCATTATAATTTGTTAAGTAGGTGACCAAACCTTACCACCACCACAGAGTAAAAACCTACCAAAGCATCAAGGTGACCAAAAGTTACCACCACCACAGAGTAAAAACCTACCAGATTCAATTCTACTTCTTAGCATCACCCTGTCAATCAACAAGCTCTCAGCTGATGATTGGAAACTATAGTCACACATGTCACCATAACTTGATCTCATACTTGGCAACTTTGAAACACTTTTTTCAAACTTTTTTATGTATTGTTGGATATCTTGTTGAGCTGTAGTGCCTTCAGATGGTTTCTGTGCAAAGGAGAAGCAGTGTTTAGAGTCAGTTTCTTTGCTATCAGCAGTTGAGCTGACTTGTTCATGGATAGCTTCCTCGGAATCAATGCTGGCTGGTGGCTGCATTGTGTCATAATGGATATGGTGTGATTGTTCTCGAGTGCTGGATTGCTGCAAAAATGTAAAACATATAGATTATGGAAGAAAAGAATAAAAAGATGCACTTGTTAAGTAGAAAGTAAATTACTGACGAAATTTGAAGGCGGAGTATTTGAACTTGCCTCGGTTAAACGAGATGGAGTAGGTGGACCAACCATACTGAGCGGAGGATCCTCTTGATATGAAAAGTCCGAACTATCGAATGTTGATAGTGATACACACTCGTCAAAATAAGCCTTGGCATCTTCTGCAAGACGTTTCGACATCCTTTTTCTTTCAATGCTAGACTGTAACCGTGTTTTGGATTCATCAATAATGGGATAGAAACATCTAATGTAACATGTGGAGTAAATATAATGTGAAAGGAACCTACTTTTCTTGATGGACGAGACTTTGGTATATTAGGAGTCTTGGGATATGGAAGAACTTCTCTCAAGATTCTATCCAGTTCTCTCACTCGATGTTCTTCAACTGCCAGATTTGCTCTAAGACGTCTAGCTCGCTCTTTGGCCTGTAAATATGACAAGTTCTGCTCAATATAAAAGAACGAGACGTTAACCATACTTCATCTTCAAGTATAAATGGGAATACTAGCTCTTCAAGCTTTTTGGTATACTCTCTTCTAGTCTCCAATGCTAATTCTATTGTACCAGGGCTTAGCAAGTCAGGATGAATATCAGCCATATCGGTGACAGTAACGGCTGTAGCGTTACTCACTTGAATAGCCTAAAATTCCCGAAACAAGAAGCAAGTTAGAGAATAGCATAGGATGAATCACAGTTAGTTATATCAATAGGCAGTTAACTTCAAGCTGGCAAGGAGAAAGTTATAGTCTCATGAAACTTACACTTTCGAGGTCAATCTGAATCTCAGAAATAGCCCGCCTAACTTCAGAACGAACTGTTTCATATATATCACTGCCTCCTAGCTGATCCCTTTGTACTGACTGCACAAGTCAAAACAGGGCGACTTTATACAAAAAAGTCAATTTCAAGCATACGTAGATAAGAGTAGGACTACAACAAAGTGTAAAAGATTTCCTATAGAAATACAACCTACATTTTGTACACAAACCGCTTTGATAGTTTTCTCATCACAACCAAATTTCCTGTCGCCATTTTGCACCAGTTTAACTTTTTCCTGCACATTACCAAAACTGTTTTTGTTCCACTCTTTTAGGTTAGCTTTAAGAATCCTCAGATTTTTGTCTAAAACATACACGGGACAGCCATACACTTTGGAATGCCAAGTTTGAGAAACGAGATTCAAGCAATCTTTGTGAAGGGTCCACATATTCATGAATTTAAAATTAGATGTGACTTTAGGATCATTATACTCGAAGTTTAGAAGCAGGGGATAGTGATCAGACTTGTTTTTGACAAGAGTATGGCAGGATGTTGAGGAGCAAGTATCGATCCAATGGAAATTACAGACAGCTCTATCGAGCCTTTTCTCAGAATGCTTACGGCCCAGGGGTGCTTACTTGGCCACTCTTAACAAAACAGTAGGGGTGATATTAGACTTACAAAAGCACCATAAGTTAGGCAAAAGATCATGCGTATAATTCATGGCAAATAGCTTAAGGTTGAGCTTCTTAAGCCAAGTTTGAAGGAATTTAGAAAAGTCCATCCAAGGTTCTGCTACCAAAACCAAGTCTAGATTGTTAACAGAAATTAATCTTTTGAGAGCAAGTCTGGAAGAGGCATTTGCAATTCCTCTAATATTCCAGAATATGCACTTCATGAGAAAGGATTAGATGTACTAGGTTTATCCCTAGTTAATTTCTTCTTCTTGGATTTTTTCGAATTCCTTTTTGAACTAACAAGTTTGAAGCCATCTGTTTCCAAACTCACCTCCTAAGCAGCCATATTCGCCCATGATTCAGATAAAAAATTTTGTATGTTGCTGTCATTTCCTTGCAGATTGGGTTGTGTCTCTTCCACTCTTAATTTATTAATAAACAAACTATTTTGGGCTTTTGGGTTATGCCCAATAGCCCGACTTATACACCCTCAAAGACGGTTCTTTTTATTGGCATTTTATTTTCATAAGAAGTGCTTATAGATAAACAAGTGATGATAGAACCTACACTTGACATCCATTCAGTGACTTCTTTGATACCACGATGCTGAGAAAGTGCAGACTTGTTGGTGTGGCAACAGTTGAACCTATTGATGATTTCATTATGAATTCTTTCCTTGGTCTACCAACTGAGTGTCTTGCTGAATTAAATGCTGTCATCTTCATTTCTTCTACATCATAAGAGTTGAGGTTTCATTGCAAAACTAAATACAAGAAGATTAAAAAAACATAAGACAATAATGAGTTGTATTATACTAAGATAGGAATATGTATACCTAGAGACATGACTTCTTATTCATGGTGACAGAATACTCAATATCTTCTTTACTGTTTCCAAGTTGCAAAATGTACCTATTTTCTTTGCCAGCCATAAAATTTACTTCAATTTTCTTAAAAGGTTTTGCTATTCTAAGAGTACAGGTTAAGAATATTATAATTAGAAAACATTAAGTAAAAAAGTATTTCTACAAATAATTAATTAGTCTGTGCCCTTAAAAGATGGATAGTTTTCTTAATAATGGTTGGTTATGATTTCTACAAATAATTAAGTAATCATATAATATTATATTCTAATGATTTCATATTTCTTTAAGACTATAATTAATATTTATATTTTATATATGACATACTGTGTTTTTATCCTGAGATAGTAGAATATAAGTCCACTTGGTTGATTATTTTTCAAGCGTAAAATTTAGTCTTCTAAGTCCACCTGAGCCAGATAACAATCAGGTCTAGATTTTAGAAAGTAGGAAACTAGCCAATGTACCAAACTCAATCCTCCACTTGTAACAATGCAACTAGTGCAAAGGCATTTCATTACCCTACATTCTATAACACTTCTCTTGTACATTTTTGGACACCAACACCAAGGTAAATTACTTATAATCAAGTTGCTTGATCGCTACTTGTTTTATTATTTGATCACTAATATTAATTAATACAACTTTTTAGATTCCTGGTCAATCCCAAAACAAAGGTAACAATATTCAACACAGTGTTGAATATTCAGTTTCATCACCCAACAAAAGTAACAAAAAATTCAAAATCGAAGAGTCTCCTAAAGTTGGCGGTTCAGCTGGTATTGCAAATTTACCTTTCCTTGATATGTATGTGAAAAAGATGATGAGGGTTGGATCATTAATTCAAATAAAAATGGAGGAAAGTATATTTGGTGAGGAGTTTTTAGAGCAACTACGTGTAGAGAGTATAAAGGAGATTCTTGATCACAATTGGTTAAGTGCATCTATTATCACTGTATTTTCCAGGTACCTCTATTATTACAAATATTCTCTTATTTGACAAATATATTATTAATATTAATGTTATTTGTATTGTTGACTAATATTCACATTGGTGACAAATATATTAATATCAATTGTTGTTCATTTCTAGGTATTTGTATGACAAGTTTATTAGTCCAAATGGATTAATAAATAAGTTCTCTTTCATATCTCCACATGTATCACGGGAGGATAATCTAGGAAATGGTATAGCAAAAATACTTTTGAAAGATGAGGAGTTCAAGGATAAGATGATTCTTGCACCTTGTAATCTAGGGTGAGATTTATATTCAAAAAGTTATTAAATTAACGAGAAAAAACTCTAATGAATGTGAATCTTTAATGCAATATTTAAATGTTGGGTGCAGGAAACATTGGGTGTTGCTTGTCATCAATCTCAATGCTGAGGTGATATATTACATGGATCCGTTGAATGGTGAGCCAACAAAACATCAAAATTTTAAAACAAAGTTTGAGAAGTGAGTATAGACTCTTTTAATTTAAAATTTATGTACGTATTATTATTTATATAATTACTCATTTGAAGTTAATTTCATTTTGTTAGCGCTTTGCAAATTTATCGTGCTAATAGTAGTTCTAAAGTGCCTAAAGTGTCAAAGTCAAAGAAAATCTCATGGCAAAAAATAAAGGTATGTGTCTAAATTAATGTTATTTTAAAACAATTATGTGGAGTAAAATTAATCGATATAAATTTTTTTTTTGTAGTGTCCTCGTCAAATTAATGGCGTTGATTGTGGATACTTTGTAATGCGATTTATGAAAGAGGTCATCATGGAAAATGAATTTATGATCCCCACAAATGTACGTGATTTTAATTATTATTATTATTCTTTTGTAAATTAAATTAATATAATTTAATTCTAACACGATTAATTGTTGATGTTTTCATATTTGAAGTACTTTTTTGACCACAAATGTCGTACCTACTCTCATGATAAGTTAACTGAGGTTAAGGAGGATTGGGCTACTTATGTGGTGGATGATGTTTTCGGTGAGTTTTTCCTTGACTTGATACTTGATAAACAAGACAAATATTACTCATGGATTTAGAGTTCAAATGTTTTGACTTAGATGTTTAATTTTAATTTTTGAGTTGGATTTAGAGTTGTCGTATAAATGATTTTAGTATTTTATTGGTTTAGAAGATATGGCACAGAGGTACTGAGTGTTCTTTCTTGGTCTCGAATTTAAATTTTGAAATAGGAAAATACGGAAAAATGACTTATATCTTATTGTATGATTGATTTATAGTTTTCCGTTTCTACTTGAAATTTTTAGATATTCGTAGTAACAATTGTAAGGTGTTTGATATCTAGTTCTGGATCATGAAAAGAAAGTTACACACAATTAAGTGTTTATGTATATTTTGAGAATTTGAATTATATTCTGTTTAGTGTTTATATGCATCTAATAATGGAAATTGTGGTCTATATATTTACAAGTCATGTTCTTGTTAGACTTAATTAGTTCAATTATTGCATTAGTTATATCGATTTATTGTTATTAGTTTATAATAATCATTCCTTATTTTATGCGCTTCTTGTTAGACCCATATTAAATGTTTGATTATTCTTTATATGTTGAATTAGTTTTTATTGTACAATACATAATCAATATTCCTTCTATGATACAGGAAAACAAGAAGCAGTTATTTTGCCTAATTAGTGATTGTATCTATGAGTTCAACGCTTTTGGATCATGAAGGTGGTTACTACATGGGATTGTTTTGTTATCCTTTCTTATTTTTTTGGTGTTTTGTTTAGAGAATTTGATTGTATGTTTTTGGATTTGGATTGAAGTACTCATAGATGGGCATCTACAAATTTGGCTATGCAAACGCCCTCTTAATATTCTATATGTTATGATATTTGGAAACAATAGGATTTGGTAATTTAAAATGTTATTTGGTATTTGATGGATCATAATATATATGCAATGAGTAACTTAAAGCGTTATTTGTGTTGAATTGAATATAGTTATTTTATATTTACACCAAAAAAAATGATTGTATAAGAAAAAATATTGTACTGTACTTATTAAAAATATTGTACCAAATATGTACCATTTATTAGCACTTTATTTGAAAGTGCTATCAAACATATGTTATATATTAGCGTTTTTTTGTTTAGAGTGCTATAAAAAAACAAACAAAAAACATTCAAAATACTGACTTTGATAGCACTTTAATTAAAACGCTATTATAAATTGGTACTTTAATAGCGCTTTTAAAGTGCTATTAAATAAGAAATATTTACAATAGTGGCGCGGTTAATAGCACTTTTAAGCGCTATCAAAAACAAAAAAAAACGCTATTAAATAGCTTATTTGGCGTAGTGCAATTAATAGAGCATATAAAACACACGGGAGTTCAATCTATCTCAACTGACAATAAATAAAACACATATAAATTCAATTTATCTCAGCTGACAACGAATAAAATATTTAAGATGACATAGAATATTACATAAGGGATGTACTTTCATGGCTCATTGTAGAGACTTATTTAGATATTCGTTAGGGAGTTGTGTGAAGGGTTATGTTTGGAAAGTCGATGTGGGTGATGCTTTTATTGTTGAAATGTGTAAAATATTACATGGTATGAAGCTAGCTTGGCTAGAACGATTTATAATTTAGTGGTTATAATTTAGTGGTTATAATGACTATAAAATCTTAATTGATATGACGAGTCAAGAGAATTAGATGATCAAAATTTTCCAACTTTAATTTGTAGAATAAAAAAATGACTCAAGAGGATTGGCGTATCAAATTCAATCATAATTGGCGTGAAGGCAATATTTATGCTAGATAACCGAATATAATCTTAATTTAAACAACAATAAACTCATCATTCTTTCATCTCTTCAGATGAATGAATTAAAGACTATTAGTTGACGATAGATATGGAGTCACATTTCCTAAGCCAGTAAAAATTTCTTATTAGTTTTCTTGTTTTCTTTTTGGGGCATTAGACCCTCTTTTGTATAAAAAAAATATATATCCACAACTTTTGTTATGATAAGTGAATTATTCTTTTTCATATATTCTTTATATTCTAGACGAGAGAGGGCATTTAATGTTGTTCTACTTGCTATGTTTTTTATTTTATATATTCTTTACATTACAATTTAAGCAGTAAATTTATTAATTTATATATATATATATCATAAAAAAAAATTTATATGAATGTAATCTGTTCAATTTGAAATGATTTTTTAGTAAAAAAAATATTTGAATTAAAGATATCTTTGTCGGTTTGATTTTGGTTTTATTCGATTTTAAGTGTTTTAAAAAATAAAATTGAATCAAACTAACTGGTTTGGTTTGGTTCGGTTGATCGATTTTCAATATTTTTTTCAAATATATATTTATCAGTGTATTTTCCACTATCGTATTTTTCGGTGTATTTTATACTATTATCTTTTAAAATAATATATTTTATGTAATTTACTATATGCTATATTTTTCTCAAACAAACATCAAAATTATTTTGTAACAAAACTAGAAACAATTTTGTTGAAGCTGGAGAAACAAAAAGAGTTAAAAATATGAAAATTAACAAAAAGAACTTAAACACGAAGAATGCAACCATAATATCATACTAGCCTCTTGATCCATGGCAGCTTCATCTTCTTCCACCGCTTCGCACGTTTCTTCGCCGTCGTCCGCCGCTGTCTTGGATGAGTCGCGCCGCTTACAGTTTGCACTGAAGATCGCGACCAAGCTCGACTCAAAGAATTTTCATCTATGGCGTCAGCAGGTTGAGCCATACATCAACGCTCACAACCTCACCGATTTGGTGCTTCCGTCGCGAGTTCCGCCTCAGTTTCTTGATGACGATGCGCGGCGCTCAGGTACGATCAATCCTGTGTATGCTGCT